AAAAAAAAAAAAAAAAACCAGAGCAAAATTCTGAGAAGCTGAGGCAGGAGGACTGCAATTGTAAGCTCAGTCTAGACAATTTAATAACAGTGAGAACAGTCTCAAAGTAAAAATAAAATGGGTTGGGGGTATAGCTCAGTGCAAAAGCCCTGGCTTCAGTCCATAGCATCATAATTAATTAATTAATTTAAAGGGCTAGGGATGTAGCTCTGTGGAAAGACCCAATACTAGAGAGAGAGAGAGAGAGAGAGAGAGAGAGAGAGAGAGAGAGAGAGAGAGAGAGAAACCCACGCATATAAAAGAAACAAAAAGCCCATCTGCCTATCATGTGAATCTACTAACCCACCTTCCAAGGATCTGCTGCTGTTCTGAAGTTGCAGACCAAGGAAAAAACTTTATATAGCTGGGTAGAAGAGCTATCACCAAGCCCCCCTCCTGGAAAAGCCACAGCATGTTGTTTTACCCATTATTATTTACTTGATTATGTCAAAGTCATATTTATTTTTCTACTCTGCTGAAGGCCTACCATTACAATAGTCAATATTAGCTGAGGTGGAGTTTTTTGTTTTGAGACAGAATTTGACTATGGAGTTCAAGCTGGCCTTGAATTCATTTTGTAGCCCAGGCTGCCCTGGAACTCAAAGTGATCTTCTTGCCTCAGACTCCCAAGGGCTGGGATTACAGGCCCATTCTATCACACCTGGCCTAGCTGAGATTTTAATATACAACACATATAACTGTGTTCATTAAAGTAACACGTGCTTTAAACCAAAATCATTTTTCCTCAGATATCTTTATTAGTGAATTAATTTCTTTCTTTCTTTTTTTTTTTTTTTTTTTTTTTGGCAGATCCGGGGATTGAACTCAGGTCCTTGAGCTTGCCAGGGAAGCACTTATTCCACTGAGCCATCTCCCCAGCCCCTCTAAAGAATTAATTTCTACCCAATGTACACCCAAATCCAGACATATAATCCTAGCACTTGGGAGGATGAGATAGGAAAATCTCTTGAACTCAGAAATTTGAAGGGGCTGGGGCGATAGCTCAGTAAAATAAGCGCTTGCCTGGCAAGCGCAAGGACCTGAGTTCAATCCCAGGTTCGGTAAAAGAAATCTAAGAGTAGACTTTGCAGCACAGCCAGACTCCAGCTCAAAACAAAACAAAACAAAATATCACCAGAATAATCTATAATTTTGAAGAAGAGACTTCATCTTGGAATATTTCTAAATGTTTCTTTATTTTATGTGATTTACCGTGCAATCCAAAGTCTCTTCAGCAACATTTCCTGTGAGACTACAGGAATGGAGGGTTCCTGTGTGGTCAGTAATATCCACCAGCATATGGAAGCTGGGAAAAACAGATCTGAATCCTGAAGAACCTTTGTTGCAAGTTGTACAAGTATTAGACACTTCATTTATAATATAACCACAGCTAGAGCTGAGAAGAAAGAAAGGTGATGATACAGTGTTATGATCCTCAGTGATAAATTTGATCTTTAGCAAAACTATCTCTAAAAAGTCAAAGTCAGCATGGGAAGACTCACCTAGTGCCCAGTGATGTACAGACAAAAGAATAATTGAAAGAAGGAAGATGTGAGTAAAAAGCTGTACTATGTACATATACCGATACTCCATAATTATGCACTGCAAACATGTACTAATACATGTTTTTAAAAAGGGAAACAGCCTCAATAAGAAATACTACAAAAAAAAATTAAACACACTTTCTACACAGTCAATCATGCTTCCAATACTTGTGATTTATCTGAGTCTGGACACAACATCCTCCTTTGTTCCTTTCCCCAATGGGTTCCCGCCAACCCCTTGGGGTCTACATTTCACTTCCCAGTAAGCGCTCTGCTCTGCTCTGCTTTCTGGCTCTTTTCACCTCACCCCCTATCCCCTTTAGAACAGCTGCAGAGAGCAGGTCAGATAGCTCAGAGGATTAAAGTACCTGCAAGCAGGTGCAGGGGCCACCAGCCCCATTCCTGGGGTGCGCTGAGATGGACTGGGTGTGATGGTGCTTGCCTGTAATGCCAGCTCTTGGGAGGCTGTAAACAGGCGGATCATTACGAGTCTGATCTAGTAGTGAGACCCTGAACACCCTGTAGACCCTTCCCTAAAATTAAAAAAAAAAAAAGTAGCTGCAGAGCTTGTGCTTCAGCACTGACATTGGGACCACAGTTGTTTCTTGCTGCTGCTACAGGCGTGTCCTTCCCTTTGGGTCAAGGATACAGAAGACAGATCAACCCACTACTTCTCCCACCCACCCTCTCAAAAAGCCCACCAAAAGACACTATTTAAAAGCCTCTTAGCCTGTAAGAGATACCTTCTTTATTCTGCTCACACAGAGAGGCCCCTCTCAGGTGTAGCAATAAACTTGCTTGGACTGTCGAGTTTGTGTTCTCCTCCCTCTTTTCACCTCAGTATTGCTAGTGATCACTTTAGTGACTTTTTTGTGACAGGGGCTCACTATGTAGATCAAGCTGGCCTTCAATTATGTATCCAAGCATGTCTTGAACTCAGGGAGATCCTCCTGCCTCAGTCTCCCAAATGCTGGAATTACAGGCAGGTGGTACCAACTGTGACAATTTCATGCTACTCTGTCTTTTTGAAGCAGGTCTTCCTTTAGCAACTTTGAATGAGGAGACACTGCATCTCTTAAATAGTGGGACAGTTAAGAAGACAATAGTTTCTTGTCTAGACGTAGATCACTTTTTTTTGGTACCAGAAATCAAACTCAGGACCTTATGCTGCCAGGCAGGCTCTGTGCCACTGAACTATAAATTCCCCATCCTAGACATAGATCACTTTTTTTAGTATATTTTCTTAATAAATTTCAAATGCTTTTCCTCAGATATTTAAGATTTAAAATGTAGAAAAAGTGAGGGAAATAATTTTAAAGCTATCTATCCAGTCAGTGCTGGGGAGGAAACCGAGGACCTCCAACAAGATAAAGGTTCTATCACTGAGCTACAACCCTAGTCCCTGAAAAATAGTTCTCAAAAAATAAATATATGCCTTACACAGAAACTTCCATATTAGTATTTTTTTTCAGTTTTAATATCATACTATAGGGGCCAGGAATATAGCCTGGCAAGCATGAGGTTCTGAGTTCAATTGCTGGTATTAAAAAAAAAGAAAAAAAAAAGAAAAAAGAAAAGAAAAAAGAATCCTATTATAAAGTGTCTTAAAAATCTAGAGGGCATTATTTTCACTCTTCACACAGAATCACAAACCTTTTTTTTTTTAATGTGTTTGGTACAGGGTCTCACTATACAGCTCCAACTTGCAGTGATCCTCCTGTTTTCAACTTTTCCAAAGTTGGAATTACAGGGGTGCACCACCATAGACTCAGTGGCCAGCTCAGCAGGCCCCAGGGCAGGGCTGGCCCAGCATGTGGTGCCGGGGATTGAACCCCAGTCCCTGTGTTTGCCTAAGCAGGCATTTAGTCCACTGAGCTATCTCACCAGCCCCACAAACCTATCTATTAATAAAACCATGTACAGCACACACATATTGTATGAAAATCTGAGTTAATCTGATAAGGTTACCGTAACATAGCTAAGGGAGAGCAGAAGGTACAGACTGCCTCTGGTGGCACATTTTGCAGCAGCATTATTAGTCAAAAGGAAAATTATATTGTAACAACTTGCTCCATTTTAACACAGCCAGAGTATATCAAAATATGAATTTTACATCTGCAGTTTATTACATTCTTAAAATGTTATCTCATTTTTTACTGAAGGCACTGTTTGTGACATTTTTAATATTTTGTAAAGAATTTTTTTAAAGTCCAACGTGGCAGCACTTGTCTGTAATCCCAGCATTTGGGAAGCTGAGACAGGAGGATTATAGAGAGTTCAGGGTCAGCCTGAGCTACATAGTGAGTTGAAAACCAGCCTGAAACCCTGTATTAAAAAAACTAAAATATTCTTACTAATATGGTTATTAGTATTTACTCACACTAGTCAACTATATCATAATTTATTATGGACCATAATATTATCATGGATAATAAACATAAGTATTGTTCAATCATTGCTTGACCAATGAGACTGCCTAAAGTAGACAACACTTACTTGTATACTGGTTCAGGTTCCCATAAACATATTTTTCTAGCCATAAGATGTTGCAGAAATTTCACAACATAATTAAGTTGATAATTAGAACATGGCTTGTGAGCACATCTATACTTATTCTTGTCTAGTTGATGCTTATAAATAATTATATGTGAAAGTTTAAAACAGGTAAGATAATACAGAAAAGAAGGTATTTTTATTTTTATCTTGTTATTGCCTACATTCAATTAATTTTACATGTATAATTTTATGTGTAATTTATTTTTTCAAATTTGTGTTAATATTCATTAAAATTGAAGGCATTCAAGATGATTTTTTAAAGAAAAAGGCAAATAACATTCTCAATTAACTGCCATTTTTCTATATAATGAATAAATCTATGCAAAAATTATCTTAATTTTTCTCTATAGGTCATTTTATTGTAGTTTTTCTCTCTTTTTTTTTTTTTTCAGTACTGGCGATTGAACTCAGGACTTTGCACTTGCCAGGCAAGCACTTATTATAGGTCATTTTATTGTATTGTATTTTATTTTTTTGGCAAATCAAGGATTGAAGCCATCTATAAGTCATTTTAATTTTCAACTTTAAATAATATTACAGATTTTTGTATTTTTATTTGGTAAATAATTCTAAAAATTATCTATATTTTTCTTTACATGTCATTTTAATTTTCTATTTAAACAGGTTAATATATTCAGATATGCTGGAGGGTAGCAAATTGAAGGACCTCCTAGAACAGTACAAACTCCAGGTACAGGACTGTAAGATCAGTGGATTTAATTAATTCAGTCTTTGGGATGTGGTGAGATACTGTTGCCTGCAAAATACTATCATTAGAGTACCACTGGACAAATGCCATAAGACATCTCCCTGTGTTGTTATCTATAGCTCTATGTGAATCTAGAATCATTTCAATAAAAATTTCAAGTGCAAAATTCCATAGAGAGGTTTTTTGTTTGTTTGCTTTATGTATTTAGGGCAGGGTCTACAGGGTCTCACTATGTAGATCAGACTTCCAGTGATTCTCCTGTTTTCAGCCTCTCAAGCGCTGGGATTATAGGTGTGCCCCACCATGTTCAGTCTGAGTCACTGTCTCAGCACATCCCGTGGGCAGGCTAGCACAGCAAGTGGGGGATCCAATCCCACTGCTGCGCTCTGCCTAAGTAGGCGCTTTAGTCCGCTGAGCTATCTATCTGGCCACACAGAGAGGTTTTAAGAATAACATTTCAATATCATTTAGTCAAAATCATCAAATCTACTGGGGTTTACTTTGTACACAAGTAGATAATAACTTTGAACCAGAAGGGGTTGTAGGTTATATACATCATGCAATTAAGAAATAATTTTCTTTATGATCCTAGTGATTGACAAATGATTTCTTTTTTTTTTTTTTTTTTTTTTTTTTTTGTGGAACCGGGGATTGAACTCAGGCCCTTGTGCTTGCCAGGGAAGCGCTTGTTCCACTGAGCCATCTCCCCGGCCCCAATCCTAGTGATTGAATCATGGCCTTCACACTAAACTACAAGCCCTGACCTTTATCTTCATGGCGGGGGAGGGGACAGGGTCTCTAACTTGCTCAGGCTGGGCTTGAACTTGTGATCCTCCTGCATCAGCCTTTTGTGGTGCTGGAATTATTGGTTTGCACTACTAGAGCCATTATTACGTCATAGAACAGCTAACTTTTTTGAAGCCTAAATTTATTAATAATTATTTCTTATAAAAATGAATTCACTAAAAATAATTTACCTCCTTACCATTTATTTCGAACTACTTTCACAGCTTCATCATCAATGTTCAGTGTGGAAATGTAAGCATAGAGAATGCCATAGAAGGGTTCAACTCTTCCTTCATTCTTCAAAGCCTTTACCTTTAACTGCTCAACTGTATAGACATCAACTATTGTATTTACTAAAAACAGAAAGAAGTATATCAGTCCCTTATATGTCCTAAAAACTATAAAGGATTATGTCCAAATAGTAAAGTTATAAAGTTCAAATAAGAATATCTAAATAGCTTAATCCACAGAAAAATATTATATTTGCTATTTTGAAACTGATTATATGGGTAAAGATGAAGCTGATGGATAGAAAGCTTGCCTACCATCCATGATGCCCTGTCCAATCCCTGTACCACTAAAATGAAACCAAAAAAATCCTTATCATACAAATGGATTAAAAACCTATAAAATAAGAAAAAATGAAAAAATGTGAAATTAGTCTTTATTAAATAAAAAAATTTAATCATCACAAGATATCATTAAAGAGGTGAGAAGACAAGCCATAGAGTAGGGGATGTTAGCAATCTACCATGGAATAAAGGACTCATTCAGAACATCTGAAGAAATTCTTTTTGGTTGTTGTTCTAAAAAACAGAACAAGAAAATGACATTTTATGCTACATTCTAGGCATGGACACAGTATTTTTCTGGGGAGAAAAAAATCAATAGCTCTCATCAGATTGACTAATAGTTACAAGCCTTTTTTTTTTTGAATCCTGGACTGAACTCAGGTCTTTGCACTTGCCAGGCAAGCACTTATTCTACTGAGTTATCTCCCCAGCCCCAAGCCCTATTTTAAATTTTAAACTAACTTTTATTTTCCAGTTCAACTGGAAGTTGAACCCAGGGCCTCTCACTGAGCTAAATCTGTAGCCATTTTTAAAATTTTGAGACAGGGTCTCTCTAAATTGCTAAATTGACCAACCTCAAATCAAACTTGAGATCTTCCTCCTGAACCTCCCAAAGTACTAAGATTAAAGGCATGTACACCACAACCGACTTTAAACTAGCTTTTTAAAATCAGAAATAGCTGGATATGATGTTACATGCCTGTAATCCCAGCATTTGTCAGGCCAAGGCAGGATAATTTCTGTAAATTCAAGGCCAGCCTGGGCTACACAGCAAGTTCAAGACCAGTTTGAACTACATAGTAAAACCCTGTCTCAAAAATTAATTAACTAAACCAAAATATAGTAGTAACAGACTTTTACTATGCCAATCAAAACTCTACAGGGCCGGCCAGATAGCTCAGCAGACCAAAGCGCCTGCTTAGGCAGAGTGCAGCAGCCAGATTCCATCCTCATGTGCAGTGCCGCCCCGGCCTCAGGGCGCTCTGAGACTAGGCTTGGTGGTGCGCGCTTCTTATCCCAGCACTTGGAATGCTGAAAATAAGAGAATCACTACGAGTCTGCTCTACGTAGTGAGAACCTGCAGACCCTGTACTAAATACATTTTTTAAAAAAAGCAGAATATATTTATTAAAAAAAATTTACAGGTTCAATTTTGGCCTTTTTAAAAATCAAATGGGCCTGGAGATAATTCAGTGGCATAAGCACTTTCCTGGCCAACACAAGTTCCTGACTTCAATCCCCAGTACCAAAAAAAGTTAAAAATTAAATTAAAAAATTAAAATCAAACAATATTTATTTGTTTATTTATTGTGTGTGTGGGTTTTTTAAGTATTTAGTACAAGGTCTACAAGGTCTCACTACACAGATTGGACTTGAAGTGATTCTCCTGGGATTAAATGCGCACGCCACCACGTCCAATCTGTGTTTATTTTATTTTTTCTTTTGTTGTTGGTGGTGATGGTGGTGGTGGTGGAACCAGGGATTGAACTCAGGCCCTTGAGCTTGCCAGAGAAAGGCTTATTCTACCGAGCCATCTCTCCAGCCCCTGTGTTTAGTTTTTAAAGAGAATAAAAAATAATAAAAATACGTTAGGAGGGCTGGTGAGACAGCTCAGTGGACTAAGCGCCTGCTTAGGCAAGCTCAGGGACTGGGGTTCGATCCCCAGTAACACATACCATGCTAGCCCTGCCCCCAGGGTGCGCTGAGCTGGCAATGGAGTCTAGGTACAGTGGCGCATGCCTGTAATCCCAGCTGCTGGGGAGGCTGAAAACATGAGGATCACTACCAGTCTGAACTGTGTAGTGAGACTCTGTACAAAAAAAAAAAAAAAAAAAAAAGTTTAATTGATACAGAATTTCACTAAACAAGATGGTAGGAATTCAACAATGGGTGTTATATTGCATATTGTTGTCTTCAGGTTAGTTGTTCCAATTACCAGACATAAGCATGCAAAATGGGTCAAAAAATTTAAAAAAAATTAAGCATTAATTGTTCCCTTCGATAAAACAATAGAAATCAGCAGTATAGGGCCTGGGGAGGCAGCTCAGCAGTCTAAGTACCTTCCTGGCAAGCACAAGGCCTCAGGTTTGATCCCCAGTACCACATGCCATGCTGGTCCCAGAACCCTAGGCAAACTATGCTGGCCACTGAAACCAGGGGTGGTGGCCCATGCCTGTAATCCCAGAGCTGGGAAAGCTGAGACAAGAGGGTCACTATGAGTCCAGCTGCATAGTGAGACCCTGTAACAAAAAAATTTAAAAAATACAAATAGCTTAGCGGATTAAAACACCTGCAAGCAGGTACAGGGGCCAGGGGTTCAATCCCCGGGCCTGTCAAGTGCCAAGCCCGTCCCAGGGCAGGCTGAGACAACAATTGAGACTGGGCGTGGTGCATGTACCTATAATCCCAGCTCTTGGGAGGCTGTAAACAGGCGGATCACTACGAGTGGGATTTAGTAGTGAGACCCTGTACACCCTTTCCTAAAATACAAACAAATAAATAAATAAAAGATTAAAAAGTAAATAAATAATTAAAAAAAGAAATCAGCGGTATAATCATCCCAGTTATCCTATATATATACATAAATATGTGTGTGTGTGATCCCTTTCTTCTTTTTTTTTCTCCTTTTCCTCATCCCAGTTGTGCCTTCCCTTTGAGCAGTTTCTTTTTTTTGGTACTGGGGATTGAACTCAGGACCTTGCACTTGTCAGAAAAGCACTTTCCACTGAGTTATCTCCCCAGCCCTTGAGCAGTTTCTTTTCCTTTCACAATGTCTATTGTACCTTTTGGATTTTATTTACTCTTTCAGGTTCTTACACGAGGAAGACAATATGATATTTACACATGCAGGCCTAGTTGATTTCATTTATAAGTATCGTCTCTACTTATATCCATTTACCTATAAAAGCCTCAAGTTTATCTTTTTTATAGCTGAGTAATACTCGATTGTATAAAAATACCACATATTTTTTATCCATTCCTCAGTTGATGGTATTTGTGTTATTTTCAAAATTCAGTTATGACAAATTGTGCTGCTATAAATATGGGTGTACATATATGCCTGTGGTATGATGTTTTCAGTTCTTCCGGAAAAATACCCAGAAGGAGAATAGCTGGGTTGAATGGGACCTCTACTCCTAGTTTTTTGAGGAATCTCCATAGATTTTCATGGCAGTTGTACTAGTCTACATTGTCACCAACAGTGAAGAAGTTTCCCTTTTTCCCCACAGCTCCTCCAGAATTTGGGCATCTAAGATGAATACATATTTCTCAGGTGAAGAAATACAAATGATGAATGAATATATGAAAAATGTTCAGCTAGGTGTGGTGACACACACCTGTAATCCCAGCACTGGTGAGGCTGAGGCAGGAGTATCTTGTGAGTTCAAGACCAGCCTGCACTACAAAGTAAGCTCAAGGCCAGCCTGAACTGCATTATGAGATCCTGTCTCAAAAAAGACAAACAAACAACTTTCAACATTATTCAAGAAATGTGAATTACAATAATACTGAGATTCCATCTCACCCCAGAAACAATGGCTATCATCAAAAAATCAAACAATATTTAAATGATCACTTACAATTTATGGATTCTTTCAAATAACTGGCATTTTCATCAGTCAGAAAATTTGCTTCTTTATTTTCTCTTATAAAATTCAGTAGGATATTAGCTTCTGGTGTATCTTAAGTTAAAAATGCATAATAAGAAAAAAGCAAATTGATTATTTTTAAAATCATTATGAAGGATCTAAAATTGTTGTTAATATTAAAAAGTGATGACATATAATTGTGCAACAATATAGAGTATTACTCAGCTATAAATGATGTGATATTGAAGTCTATCAACATGAACAGATATATACCAGATGTCAGTGAAAAGAGAAGCTTACAAAATTGTGTGGTACGATACCCTTTGAGTTGAAAAAATATATGTATATGTACATTTATCTGGAAGAATATATGTGTATAAAAACTATCTTTAAAGGTAGTGGGTTATCTTTGTGTTCCTTTTAAATTCTTTTATTTATTTTCTTATTTGTTTGTATGTGTAATCCTGGAGGTTGAACTTGGTCTTCACACTGAGCTAAATTCCCACCCTATTTTTATTTTGAGACAAGTCTTGCAAAATTGCCCATTCAGTATTCCTGCCTCAGCTCTCAAGTGCTAGGATTACAGGAATAGCCCATTGTGCCCAGCTGCATTTTCTGAATTTTACATGTATTTCCTTTGCTGTAGAAATATTTCTAAAGATTATTTTAAAGTCTTGTTCCTCAAATTTGAATGTGAATTTTCTCAGGAATGGATGGATGATGTGCCAAAAGTCAAGAATGTGATTTTGAGGCAGCTGTGATGGCTCATTCTTGTAACCCCGGCACTCTGGGAGGTGGAGATAGGAGGAGGGTAAGTTCAAGCTTCACCCGGGCAACTTGGCAATTGAGTAAGTCCCCCATCCCACTTTCCCTCTTGAACATTCTACAAACTGCTCTGACAATATTTGGACTTTCCTTGCTCCCTTGAACAGATTTAGGCAATTCTTCTTTTTCAAATTATACACAAGTCTTATTAATGATCTTTCTCAGAAGATCATAAATTCCTTATGGGCGGGTATTGTACCTTCTCATCTTAGTATTTCTAGTATCCAACACAGTAATGATGCTTCCATACATCTAACCAACAACTGTCCTCTGCCTTCCAGAAAAGATTACGCAAATAAAAGGCATTCAGCAGGCACTTGGAAATTAATGAGTGAATTAATGTTTTTGAAGGGCCACCAGATAGCTCAGCAGACTGGGATTCAATCTCCAGCCTACAGTGACGACCCCACCCCTGGAGCACGCTGAGACAGCAAATGAGACTGGGCGTGCTGGTGTGTGCCTGGAATCCCAGCGCTTGGGAGGCTGAGAAACAGGAAGGATCACTACAAGTCTGATCTGTGTAGTGAGACCTTGTAAACTCTGTACTAAATAAATTTTTTTAAAAAAGTTTTTGAAGCACGAAGAGACTTGCTACATATTACACAGGAGTAGTTGTTGAACGGGCCACAGCAATCCCACCAATGAGCATCTTTTGGGTAATGATGTTGGTAGGGAGGACAGGATGCACAAGGGCCTCTAGTGGAAGGAGAGTGATCCAGATTATCTGGGGACAGGATGGAATTCCCACTCTGACAAATACTCTCAGGGCAAAGAAAGCACAAAGAAGACTTAACATGCTGACTAGGGTAAGTGCTTAAACCATTTAGACCTTAATTTCTGCAAGGTAGGTCTATAGCCCAGGAAATTAGAAATAAGGCTGATTTAAACAAGCCCACAAATTTACAGTTTTGTCAGTACCCTTATGAGCACTCCCCTTTAAATCTATCTTCTTAGTAGAATAAATGCAAGAGATTTATTTTACAACGTAGTGATTACAGTTAATAATATATTGTATTCTTATTCTTATTCTTATTATTTTGGTGGAACAGGGATTGAACTCAGGCCCTTGCGCTTGCCAGGGAAGCACTTATTCCACTGAGCCATCTCCCTGGCCCTGTGTCATATTCTTGAAAACTACTAAAAGAGCAGACCTTATGTATTCTCACCACAAAAAAAAAAAAAAAGGTAAGTGTTATGGTTTGTATCTAGGTGTTTCCTCAAAGCCTCATGTAGTAACTGGGGCAGTTTCTAGATTTTGTGATTAATTAATGATCCAATTCTGGGATTATGGGTGGAAGGGCTCCTGGCATTATGGGTGTGAGTGCTATACCCATTCTGAGACAGATAGTCTGAATGTAATGTAAAGAAGGGAGAGAGGCTTGCCTCTGCCACTGCTATCACTGCTTCTCCCTTTCTGCTCTTGCTGTTTTGCTGTTTTCTGCTGCCATGAACTGCTGCCCTCTGCCACGTGCTACTCTACCTTAGAGCCAGCTGAATATGGACTGAAACCTCCACAAACTATGAGCTAAATTAATCTTTTCATCCTTAATTCTGTGTGCTAGGTATTTTGTCCCAGCAACAAGAGAAAATTAACCAAGACAGTAAGTATGTGAAATAGTGCATAAGTTAACTAGCTTCATATAGCCATTGCACATGCATACAAAATATGACCAAACTACATGATAACTATTTACATAAATAAATAAATTGGAGTCATGCATAGTGACACACACACACCTGTAATCCCAGACCTGAACAAGGATCACCACAAGTTTGAGACTAGCCTGGGCTACATAGTAAATTCAAGGCCAGCCCAAATTACATAGCAAGACCCTGTCTCAAAAAACTAAAAAAAAAAAAACAAAAAAAAACCTTTTAAAAATTATTACAAAAGCTACATTATCATTAATATCTTTCAAAGTATTCTCTTCCATTTTTGGTTTGGTTTGGTTTTTGAGACAGGGTCTTACTATGCAGTTAAGACTGGCCTTGGGGCTGGTGAGATGGCTCAGTGGTCTAAAGC